AAAAAAAAAAAAAATCTGCCTGAGTCACAGAACCACCGGTCGCCTCGCAATCTCGTGGAAGAAGCTTCTTGTGTCTTGGGGCAGTGGTGAGGAAAGGAATTGGGTAGTGGAGTTGTTCAAGTATTTTCCTTGTTCAGGCAAAGAATTGATGGGCACATTTTTTTGTTTTTTGTTTTATTTGAGAACAAGGCTGGCGCAATTAAAAAGGTTCTTTTATTTGAAAGTCACGTTTTAGAAAAAAGAAATTTATAATAAAAAAAAAAAAAGTCAAATTTCACGAGCCGGCTCACCGAGCTGCTCGTGTTGGGAGAGCTCGGGCACGAGCTCGATACTCGGCCCATTGACACCACTATCTCTCCGTTGCTAAAGTGTGAACCTTTTACCAATGGAATTACCATTACCATTACCAACCGACTTCCCATTGGTAGATGTCTATCATTACAATTGGTAAAAATCAGTGTTGTAAATAGCTACATAGGTTATTTTTTTATTATTGTTTAATAATTAGAATTTTTTAACTTTTAGCCAACTGAAATGAAATGTCCAAAAATTTGTTTAACCACTTAGTGGACCGCTAATTTACAAAAGGGAATCTTCAATGATTTTGTTGTGAACTTTCGATGTTAGTAAGTGAATGATTGGATTTTTTAATTATTAAAATTGATTAATATCATCAACACATTTTTTGTAGGTAATATGAATCAATCTTCACCTATGAAATTTTTGTCGATGAAGAGGCTGACTTTTTTTTTAAAAAAAATTAATTGCCCTTCACCTATGAATAGTCCAATAGGAGAATGTTTGAATTTTTTAATTATCAAAATCGATTAATATTAGCAACGACAATTTCATTGGTAATATGAACTACTTTTCACCCACGGAAAATCCGTGGTGAAAGTTTAACATATTTTTTAGAAAAAAAGGTTGAATTACATCACCTATGAAAATACTGTTGGTAAATGGTAGCATATTAAACAACAACATTAGGCACAGAAAATCCGTTGGTGAAGATATCTACGACTAATTTTTATCCAACATTTCATGCTGATATCGGTACTCCATAAATCACAGGTCCTCGAACGTTCTCCGTATGCGCGCATGCTCGTGTGTTGTCTATGTTTATCATCACACGTGTATTCAATTGCCTACCCTTTTTTTTTAAACATTTGATCATGGGTTCAATGTATCCTATTTTCTTGATTTTGTTGGCGAGGGATACGATTCTCATTACAATAATTTGTGAAAGCATTTCTTCTATTCGTTAGTAATCACCACAACAATATTTTGTTGTAAAGATGTATTATGAAGCAAGAGATGTAGATTAACAAAATGAATCCTAGCCTCTTGTTAATGAATCGCTTTTTATATTTATAAAGCGGTTGATGACTTTGATTTGGTACACTAAAATGCTATTTGTTTGCAGGGGCATTGAGTGAAATTAGTCGATAACAAAGCGTGTCTATTGCGTAGTTTATAAATTTTCATATAGAGAAATCAAATTTAACATAGAATTAACCATATAGAAACACTATGAACATACAATTCATTATGTTTATAGCTTTCCAAACAACTATAGAGAAATTTTATGACACACTATCATATCCATCTCTTCACAAGGAACAGCAAACTGCGGGTTAAAAATTATGAGAGAAAAATAAAAGGGGAAAGCATGACGAGGAATATGACTTGGTCAAAGACCATGAAACAGGAACAATCACATTATTCAGCACACTTTAAAGATTGTATAAGCATAACTAGTTTTGGGGCTTCTCCCATTTGAGGGGCTTAGTTACCTCCCATGTGAAGTCGGGGTCATCCCTTCCGAAGTGGCCATATGCAGCGGTTTTCAAGAACCTTCCATTGCCACCCCTCTTCAAGTCCAAGCTAATGGAAATCATTCCAGGTCTGAAATCGAAATTTTCCTTCACAATCTTCAAGATGTCCTTGTCCGGGATGCTCCCGGTGCCATAAGTGTCAACAAACACGGACAATGGCTCAGGCACGCCAATGGCATATGAGACCTGCACTATGCATCTGCGAGCAAGGCCACTGGCAACAATGCTCTTGGCAGCCTGCCTAACAATGTAGGCCCCACTTCTGTCGACCTTGGTCGGGTCCTTTCCGGAGAAGGCACCCCCACCATGGGCACCCCACCCTCCATAGGTGTCAATAATGATTTTACGACCTGTGAGACCAGCATCACCATGGGGGCCGCCAATAACAAACCTGCCAGACGGGTTCAGATGGAAGATTGTCTTTTCATCGAGGTACTTCTCAGGGATGATAGGTTTGATGACATGTTCCTTAAGGTCCTTAGCAATCTCATCATTAGTAACAGTTTCATCATGCTGAGTCGAGATGAGAACAGTGTGGACCCTAACTGGAACCATCGCACCATTGTCATTGTAGTACTCGACTGTAACCTGGGTTTTTCCATCAGGTCTCAACCACGGACATTTACCATCCTTTCGGACTTCAGTGAGGCGGGCACCTAGTTTAGTAGCAAGCACATGGCTGAGAGGCATGAGCTCAGGGGTCTCATCAGTGGCATAGCCAAACATGTGACCCTGATCGCCAGCACCAATCTCCTCGGGACGCTTGGTTAGATGGCCGTGGACACCTTGAGCAATATCAGGGCTCTGTTGCTCAATGTTGACTAGGACCTTGCACTTGTCCGCATCAAGCCCAACATCATCAGACGTAAATCCTATGTCACGGCAGGTGTCACGAACAATCTTCTCATAGTCTATATTTCCCTTGGTTGTGATCTCACCGAAGACCATTACCATATTCGTCTTGGTACAAGTCTCACAGGCAACTTTGCTATCAGGATCCTGTTCGAGGCAGGCATCAAGCACAGCATCTGATATCTGATCACAGAGCTTGTCGGGGTGACCCTCATTCACAGATTCAGAGGTGAATAGGAAGGTGTCCATGTTTTCAACCTGCACAAGTTAAAATTACATTCAAATAGTCTAAGTTCATTGTGGTTAAGATGAATTCAACCCTGTCATGAAAGGAAAATATAACATACATTTATAAAATCAGACAATCTATCAACCACTATAAAACAAGTAACTTGTGCGTACGAATTTGCACCATACGTGCACTTCTCTTACAAGCAAATAGATATGTGTATTCCATGAGTACTGGAAGAAAAAAGAACTCAAAGTATATGCCCAGGAAAAGCAATTGACAATTTCCGAAAAAGTAGTACATCCACAGACAAGTTCTTTTGCAGACAGTAATAGAAAAAGTTTGTTATTATGCACCAGTATATTCTGTAGAATAGATTCAAAAATAAAGGGCGCTCCTTTAGCTTTATACCTGGAAAGAATATCAGCACCTGTTGAGCTAAGTAAGGAAGCCAACTTTACAAAAAGGAAATTTGGAACAAAGGGACAAGTTCTTTGCTTTTTCTTTTTTAAGCTACTAAGATAAACTTGCTGAACAGCCTTCAAGATAAAAACGATACTTTCAGGTGCGGTGGGGGGCATCTCAAATCTAGTATAGATCTGATTCTGAGGGGATCAAAATAGACAATCTTTCTGAACATGGAGAATGAAAATCAAGAAACTATCCTAAATATTTATTGCAGCAAAATTTGACTACTAACCGACACAAGGAAAGAAACATAGACATCATGTAAACCGAACTCTGATGAAGTCATCAACAATCTCCATCAACCAAACTGCTTAGTTTGGAAGCTTTAAGTTCAGATCTAGATCTCACTTTGTCCAAGACATTTCTTTGAAATTAAATCCACAACAAACGAAATAGATACATCAACGAACTAAACCTTATTCTCAATCAATTTCTCGACACGGCTTATGAGGTTGATCCCAGATTACAGGAAGAACAAAGTCTTATTGCCATTATATTAGAGGTTCTCGCCACTACAATTGATGCGTTACCAGATCTACTAGCAAACTCAAAGCAATTAGATCCCTTCTACTCAAACTAAGTCTCTGAATACCCACATCAAATTAAGGTATATAACTGGTTCCTTGTGACACAGAGATCTAAAAGTACAATGAGATAAAGTGGAAACAGCTAAGTCTTAACACTAATTCAGCATATAATCTGTCAAGAAAAACTTCATAAAACTTCAAAATGGTTATTAATCTTACAGTACCAAGTTCAAGTAAACATGACCATAATCCGCACATAATTCAAGCAACAAAAACTCAGATCCATTAATTAACAACATTATACACAACAAAACGGGTTCTTCAATACATTCTCGTACCTCAGAGATGAACCCAACAGCCGACAGAAGAGAGTTTCTTGGGTACAATAGCTTTAGGTACACCAAATGCTTGCAATTCTGACAATGAATTTGCGTCTATTTATAAGCAAACATTTGGTCTATGGGTACGTCGTGGAGTTGACAATAAAGTTAAATTAGTTGGTTGTGTGTCGTTGCGGTGTTTCCGCCGTCAGATCCGGAATCCAATGGTCAGGATCGTTTGGAGTGGTTGGTGAGAGGGACATAAATGTGGTTAATTTTTTTACTTTGTATGCAATTTATCGGTGAAACTTGTATTTGAATGGTTTGTCCTCAGTTCACCAACCCCAGGAGTGGGACCATCTCCATAAATGGTGTGTTATTTACAATTGAAAGCGGTAGTTTTTTAATGCTTTGTTTATCAAATTATTAACAACATATGTATGTCATGTAGAATGATTATGACAGTGAACGACTGTAAATAGTTTTTTACAATTTTTAATTGAATATAAACATACTAACACTTTGTAGATAAATGTCATGAGTTCAAATCTTTTCGCCACCCATTTATAAAAGTTTTACGTGTTAGATATTTGATTTAAAAAATTGAATCCAACGTGCATTTTGAGAATCAATTTTTAAAAAATATATATATTATATATATTTTTAACATATTTAAACTTTTAGATAATATGATTTAGCATGCACCAACAATAAAGTGCGGGCCTAAATCCTGAAAAAAGACACCAACACCAATAATTGGTTAAAATCAATATTTTTGATTTTCTGATTTATGGTCACATTTAAAATCTATTTATTATTACAGTCCTCGAACTTTTACAAATAATGTACAAAGGTCCCTAGTCCTTTATAGTTCCCTAAATTTTGGTGCATAACACCCTAAATTTTCACGGTTTCCATCCAACAAGGACTCGTGATCTAGGTAAACTTAATAAATATATGTATCCTATTTTTTGTCAGATTATGGGCGTTTTCGGTAGATATTAAAATCAAATTAAAATTAACAATAGCCGTAATTGTTAACTTTTATTAGACGAGTGAGACCCAATAACGACTATATTTTCAATTTTAATTGGATTTTAAACTTGGCCAAACATGCTCTATATGTAAACTATGTGTTCCAATTTGCATGGTAATTGGAGTAGATAGATGTCCCTTCGTCGCCCATTTATAAAAGTTTTACGTGTTAGATCTTTGATTTAAAAAAATCGAGTCCAACGTGCATTTTGAGACTTTTTTTTTTAACTTTCAGATAATATAATTTTTGGGGACAAACGGCACCAACAATAACGTGGGACCTAAAGCCTGAAAAAAAGAAAAAGAGTTGATTAGACACACATGTTTTATTTGTGAAATTATGGAGATTGTGGCAACAACAATATATAGATAAAGAATTAGATGAAAAACAAAAAAATCTTCCAATTATGGATGCATGGCAAACTTCCATGTTCTTTGGTTTCATTTGAACCAATCATAGCCACTTACTTGTCCAAAGGGTTATCTTGGCCATCTATCAAGATATTGGTGATGATTTTTAAATCTAAGCGTGAAACTCGTGGTACAATGAAAAAGAAATGAAGTGGGAGAGATTCTTTCCTAAGCACGATAGCCTTTATTTGGCTATTGTTTATAATCGAATAAATTACTTTTATCTACAGATTACTCTCTCAATTCCATTTATATAGGCTCACTTTTCTTATTTTCTCGTTACAATTATAGTCTTATTTCTTTATTAAGACCCCGTTTAAGACAAGTTATTATAGAATGAGAATGAAAAATATAGTCGTTATTGGGGTCCACACAAGATATAGAAAATTTGAATTTAAATATTCATGTGATGGATAACGGTCATATTTTTTATTTTAATGAGATAATAATATAGATCAAACGGGGACTAAAAATGTTTTGTTTTGTTCGTTTACTGATATACTTTTATTTTTTTACTATTTTCAATAATAATTTACTATTAGTTATTGATAATTAAATGAGAGTAAATTAGGAAATTTTTTGGCAAAAAATTGCTTTTCTAATAACATTAAGTGGGTGTTTGGTGGTGATTAAAATTAGATTTTATATTGTGATGGAAGTTTTTGAAATGTGTGGTTAAAAAATTAGTGGAAGTCATGAAAGATGTGGTTAATATTGATTGTTTAACTTTGATTTAGATTAAAATCTGATTTTAATCCGTACCAAACATGGCCTAAATAAGATTTCTTAATCCATGTGAAAAACAAAACAAGCCTACATAAATGGAACGGGGGGAATATATGGAAAATCATAAGTACTATTAATCACTCGTTTTTATCTATATATAATTTAAAACCATTTATAAATAACTCCCAAACAAGGGCATTCACTTTAGATAACTAAAGGAAACAAAAATCACATTTTACATTTTGTAGTATAACAAATGGTCAATAAATTGTTATGGTTGATTAAACACGAAAGTCGAAAGCTTTCTTAATAATTTTTTATATGGTAGGAAATATTATGAAGGCACAGTATGATTTGACTCTATAATCTTAACATTAATGTCTATTAAGTAATTATCTAGTAATATATGTAGAATTAACATTTTCTTGTGTTATGTTTGAGTTATTTATTTTAACAACCATGCTGTGTGTACAGAATATTGTACACACAAAAAACCCACAGAGAAGACACAATAGGGGTGGGCCTAGAGGGGTCAATCCGGGTGGACCGGGTCGGGTCGGCCCGCCAACATATGAGCACGGTAACGGCTCGCGTGAAAAAAAAACTCGCCTGCTACTAGTTTCGGACCGGTTCTGGGCCAGCTCACAAATTTTGGACTACAACTCCAGGCCCGCCCACTGACACATTCGGGTCGCGGGTCACGGGTTGTTCCAAGAATTTTTTATATTGATAGCAATTTTGGCTTTTTTTTTTTAAATTACGAATTGAATAAAATGATAAATTCATATTTATACCAACAAATGTTTACATATAATTCAAATTTAATAATTGAAATTTAACAACTAAATGCATTTCTAATTACGTAAATGTATATATTTATAGTAAAGTACATTCCAACTAGGTTGACACCTATTTTTACTATAATTTCTAATTTAAGTACATCACAATCAATCAATTTTCATGAACTGTAAGATTTTTGAAATTTTCAACATCATTATTAATTTTATCTTGCATCCTTCGATCCGCGAATATCCAATCTTTCACGCAATACCTTGTTACCTGCACTAAAATCAGACTCGGATGCCACTGTTGAGATTTTGAACTGTTAGTATATCTCATGTCATTTTAGATAATATAGGGTATGACCGCTCATTTAATTTCCATCATCGTAAAATATATAACTTATCAACTTCATCTTCAGGTATTAAACTATAATGATCAAATTGATAATATCTTTCTAATTTAGCAGGCTTGGTATGTGGATTTGCAGTCAAAGTTGAAGTAGTAGATGAAGAACCAAGAACATTACGTTTCTTAGCTATTATGGAGAAAAAAAAAGATTTGCTTTTAGAAATTGTACTAGAGATTGGAGAAGAAGACATATTTTCATTGTTACCATATTTAATAAAATAGTTGTTATACATTTCATTAATAAAAATTTTCAATTGTCGATTTGTAATATTTATGTTAAAAGCCCATGTTTCAGAAAGTGATTCTAAATCACAATGAACTCCAAACAACTTAATGCGAGGATCCATTACAGCTGCCACTGAAAAAATTAGTGGCATATTTTCATAATATTTTTTAAACTTTTCCTCCATTGAGTAAATAATTTCAAAGAAAAATGGATCGTCTCTAAATGATGAAAACTGTCCAACAATTTCTAGTAATTGTAAAAGTACAAAATTACTAGTTGGATAATAAACTCCAGAACTAACTTTTGTTGCATTATAGAAAGGTTTCAAAAATTTCACAACTTTAAATACTTTTTCCCAATCCGAATCAGTTATATAAAATTGATTTTACTTTAAATTAACAAATGCATCAATAACATTAGTATAACCAATACACGATTTTAATATTAAAAAAGTTGAATTCCATCTATTAGGAACATTATCAACAAATTTTCTTCTTCTCAATCTAAGATTTTTACAAATTCTTGTTGTCTAGAATTTGAACAAGAAATATAATTAATAGATTCTCTAATTATACTTATTTGTGGTGTTATTAATTTTAAACTATCTTACACAACTAAATTATATATATGACAAACACAACACATATGAAATAATTTAGAATCATATGGAGGTGTAACCGTTCTAATTAAAAGCTCAATGCATGCAGTATTAGCACTTGCATTATCAAACGGCTCTCTCCCCCCATTTTTTTAAAAAAAATTTTGATTGTTTTTTTTTTCATGGGCCGCGGGTTAACAGCAGTTCGTGGTGGTTCAACCCGCGAAGCCTGTGAGCTACACCTCGATGGCCCGTGAACTGCCGCACGGGTCATGGGTCGGCCCGCGGTCCCGATTTTCACGGGTCTGGACGGCCCGTCCATTTTGACCCATCTAGGTGGGCCCACATTTTTTTGCAATATTTTATTCACAGTGGGACTCACTCCATGTGAGATTTCTGGTAAAGTTCTGGTGAAATTCTTCCGATAAAGGGGAATTATTGTTATTTTAAAAAGAAGATTTTTTTTTCTTGTGGAATTAAATATCTGTCATTTTAATTTATTATTAATGTCTACCAAATGCATTGACAGGAACCATACATGATAAATAATCGAATACAATTCTTGAACTGCATATCATGTGCAACTTTCTTGTAATAAATTCATTTAAATAAATATCTTTTTTGTTCTTATAACTCCAGCTGTTAGAATTAAGCCCATCTGGTTATTTAAAATTCATTTTTAACAATATATTTTATGACATCGACAATTTTTTTATCAACTTTTCAATCGTATATTTTATCAACTTTTGTCAAAATTTACTAAAAATATGATTTTAGTAAGTTAGCCCCTCCCTCTTAAAACAAAACAATTTATTTCTCATACACACTTTCAATCACACATCACAAAATAAAATATTTTACAAACTCAATTTCTTTCCCCCAAAAATCACTGTTCAAAACATCTTTTTTACACAATAATGATCATTAAGTAGGGGCTTAACTCTTTCTTATACTGTATATCAAGATATAAGGTTGTTTGTTTCCATTCGTTTGTAATAATTCTCTCTAATTAGCCCTGTTTAAAAATCATTATTTAGGAAAAATAAAGTTCTGAATAGTGATTTTTAGGAGAATGTGTAGTTAAAAAATATGAAAATTTTTTAAATTTACGTATAAAATGTTTATATATATATCACTGTTCAAGTGTAATAAATCTAGCTTAAATTTCTAGAA